AAGGCTTTGGGTGTGCAAGGAGCTGGTTCCTGGTGGGCACTGGTGTGCCTGTACTAGTGTCTGGTCTCCGAGTGCTCAAATCAGGGCTAATCCCTGTTATTGATAAGTCCTCATAAAAACCCTGCCAAGAGCAGTAAATGTTAGTAAAAAGCCACTTGGCACAAATCATGACCAGCTGGCTCCTGCAGACTGAGCTAAACAGTACCGATGATTTCTTCAAACTGAGCACCCCCAAGGCACTGCAAAATACACCCACATTGACAGGTTCCTGGGGCTAGCACAGGGTGAAAGCCAAAGAGGTCTCAGGGAGATGAGATTTCGTCTTTTCTTGGGAACCAGATACCCTGTAACAAGGGCTTACCTTGTTAGAGGCTACCAGGTGCCAGGGGGAGGGAATTTACATTCACTAGGCAAATGCAAATTCCAGTGAGGAGCTTAAACTCGTAAGGCTCTTATGGAAAATAAACATCCTGGATAGCAAGGGAGGCTGGAGAACCGGTGCTAAGTATAACCATTGGGCACTTAGACCTCGGACAGCAGAGACGGTGTTAATGGATAACTTGATACCCAAAGTGCTGCAGAAAACCTCAAAAGTCCTTTTGAAAGGAGGTACAGAGCTCTGTATGTGTAAGATAAGGAAGGAGGCCAACAAACACGGCTCTGTTTAAGTCACTCGGTATGATTTAAGAGATGGAAAGAGGATTCTGAAAGCTGGTAAGGCTGCAGGAGACCCTGCTTCTAAGGGTAACAGGATTCTCATCCTCCTGACCCGAGATGCATGATACAAGAAGGACAAAAAGAGTTTATTCTTGCTGAACAAGTAACCACTTGAGCAGACAAAAGGAGAGGCAGAGCCCTTATTTCTCTTATACTCATTTTATACTCAAGCATTTTTCTGGCTAAAGCATATGCTTTTGGGACGGGGGAGGATGATAGGGCAGAGCCTAAGTATTGCCAGACCTTTATTTGAGAAGCTCTCACAGCAAAATGAAATAAAATAAAATAAAATAAAATAAAATAAAATAAAATAAAATAAAATAAAATACATATATATATATTTATATCTGTATAGATCTGGGGAAAATGAAAGACTGAACAACCTGGACAGTAGGATACGGACACTGCCTCGGTGCATCTGGTTTAGTACCACATCAAGTCTTTGCACAGCAAGCCTGGCTGATTGTGGCCTTCTCCTCCCAAGAGAGGATAAGTTCTTGCTCCTTTTTGCATCAGAGATTTTTTTCTTGTACATATTGTAAGAAAATGCATACTTTCTTATATATATATCTTTTCAAAGTATACAGTTTAAGACAGTATAGGAGGCCTGAGTTGGCACTACCTTAGTGCTTGAAATCAGGGGGACACCAAAATGAATAAAGAAATACAATGACTTTTTGGGTTTGCTAGCTTTTTCACTTTTGTTGTTGTAGATGTTGTTAAATTCGCACAAATGGAAAAGACTACAGAAAGTGCAAGGCCCCAGAAGCTGCAGTGCAGTAAGATCTCAATGTTATGCCTGCACAGGACTCTATACTCTAGCTTTGCTCTAAAAATAAACCAAAACTTCATCATCTAAGCCCCTGACTGTGCTATGGCTCATCTTTGTTGTTCTCTTCATTATGCAAAAGTGAGCTTTGTAGAGGAAGCATCAAATCAAGTTTCTTCAGATAGTAGCAGAAGACAGAAGGAAGCAGCCCGATATAGAACCAAATTCATTATATGCATGGAAGTAGAACGGATGTATTTAGATAACAAACAGATTATGTATGCTATTAAAAATGATATATTTTAAAAGTGATTTCATGTCTTAGCATCTGGGAGGGATGTTCAGAAACCTTTCTAGTTCATGAACATCTGAAGACCATGTAGCTGAGTTTACAGGGGGAATTTTGGAAGGGTTACTTAGCAGATCCCAACCTGTTAGTAACCCTTTTCTAATGTAAACTCTGAAAATATCCACTTGGGCAATTCTCTTTTTCTGTGCTGTTCCCAGGAAGGGAAGAATTGGGAGCAAATGTACCTGTGGATGGCAGCTTCAGGTTCAGTGGGCAACAGAGTTACCTGATGAGCTGTAACACAAAAAATGGGTATACCAGGCATTAATACAAGTATGGGCAGCAAAGAGGTTGTATGAAACAATTGGTTTCAAGAAGGTCAGGAAGGTCAAAGCCCTGGAGCTAATATTAGTGAGGAATCTTAAGGATAGCAAGAATTCACAGATTGACAGAGTGGTTTGGGTGGGAAGGGACCTTAATGACACCAGACCAGGTTGTCCAAAGCCCCATCCAGCCTGGCCTTGAGCACCTCCAGGGATGGGGCATCCACAGCTTCTCTGGGCAACCTATGCCAGGGCCTCACCAACCTCTGAGTAAAGAATTTCTTCCTAATATCTAATCTAAATTTACCCTCTTTTAGTTTAAAGCCATTACCCCTTGTCCTATCACTACATTCCCTCCTCACCTTCCCTGCAGGCCCCCTTTAGGTCCTGGAAGGCTGCTGTAAGGTCTCCCCAGAGCCTTCTCTTCTCCAGGCTGAACTACCCCAACTCCCTCAGCCTGTCCCCATAAGGAGAAGTGCTCCAGACCCCTGATCATCCTTGTGGTCCTCCTCTGGGCTCTCTCCAATACATCCATGTCCTTCTTGTGCTGGGGTTACCAGAGCTGAATGCAGGGCTCCTGGTGGGGTCTCAGGAGAGCAGAGCAGAGGGGGACAATCTCCTCCCTTGACCTGCTGGCCACGCTGCTTTTGACGCAGCCCTGGACACAGTTGGCTTTCTGGACTGCAGGTGCACATTGCCGGCTAGTGTTGAGTCTCAATGAGATTTTCCCAAGTGAGCTGAGATAATTGGCCTATGTGATTTCCTAGTGTACTGCCTATTAACGTCAAAAAAATCATGGCCATTAGGAGAGGTCCATGCCAACAGGAAAATGGCAAGCAGTAAGTCCTTAAGAAGTGCAAAAGGGAGGGCCCAGGCAACTTCACTGCAATGAAGGCTACTCAGCTTCACTGTAGTTCTTGGAAAGATGATGGCACATGTCTTCTGGGGATCTGTTCACAGATGGGATGGATAAGAAGGTTATGAGAAATAGTCAACATGGATCGAACATGCTGAATAGCTGTGTGGAAAAGGTGAGACACACAAATGCAATACACCTTGACCTTGTTAATAATTTTAGTGCCATCACTCACAGCACTGTCATTTGGAAAATGAAGAAAGCTGGGCTGGAGAAACTACTGTTAGGTGGATTGAAAAGCAGCTGATGCTCTGGGCTCAAAGTGTAGCTCATATCTAATTGGTAGCCATTTATGAGAGGAGTACTACAGGAGTTTAACATCTTCATCAACAACCTGATTGATAACACAAAATGAACCACCAGCAAATTTGTAAAAGATATTTATTTAGAATACTTGGCTGACAAGATGAGTGTTAGAGCTTCATTCCAAGACATGAGGACTGGGCTAACCTAAAGAGCTTCAATGGTTTAAAAAGGAGAAATGCAAAGTTTTGCATCTGTCGCAGAATAATGGCTGGTTTAAGTTATTTACTTTATACCTTAGTAAAGTGATGCTTGTTGCTCTGAAGTTTGATAGGTGGGATGGGTAATAGTCTTTACTTGTTTTCATTACTGCCCTGTATAATTGCAGTTAATAAAAATAATGATTTCTTAAAATGCACTTTGTGCATTGCAGCTGTCCTCAGGCAAGAGGACAGTATGTCTGTTTAAACACTCAGACTTTACAGCAATAGCAGAAGTCTGATACTCTCTTCTAAAACATGTAAGAGGAGAAAGAAGTATGTACCTTGCTGAGAGCAGGGTTTTGAAATTATATCCCCTCTCTTTCTCTGGTTTCCCTAAACTCTTTTGGTACATTCATCTATCCACCCACTCTCTTTCTAAATTGAAAAGAAAATGGAATGCTTTGGGCTTTTGGGTATTAGTGACTTCAGCTGAGCCACTGGGATGAGATCAAAGGCTTGTGGGAAAATGATGAGCTAAGCTTTCTCCAAGTAGAAGCACAGCAACAACCCTCACCAGAGTCTGCAAGTGTTGCAGTGGCATGAACGCTTCCGCCCAAATTCATCCCATCTCATTTTAGGCATTTAACAAGGCGCCTGAATTAAGAGTCTCATTGTCTTAAGCTCACTTATTGCTGTAGATGAGGAACTCCAGAATGCAATTTAGTCCTCCTACAACCTGAATTGCTCTTTCAGGGTACCTCTCTCCCTCCTTAAGGAAGCTTTGTGTGACAAATGTAGACACTCCAAGACTTTTTGGTTTGGTTTGGTTTGGTTGGTTGATTGGTTTTGTTTATCAGCTTAAAAGTCAGTCTAGTTTTTTTGTCTATGTAAAGTTTATGAGATATGGTTAATTCTTCTGGCTGACTACTTCACTGGGGTGAGTCAGCTCTGGCCTGACACATGCTGACACACACTACCCACACAGTCTAGAGGACACTACAGAGAAAACAAAAGAGCTATTAACCTAAGTGACTCTGCTGTGGACAGATGAGGTAAGCTAAGGGAATAAAGTTTAAACTTGTAAAACAGCTTCATGAAGGCTTTTTTTTTTTTTTTTTCCCAAGTGAGCCAGCACAGCAGCTAAGTGCTGTCAAAATGCTGCAGCTGTCCTTCCTTCTCTTTCCTTCTTGGAGACACCGGAGATATCAGACCTCATACTCATCAGATCTCATACCATGAGAGCAATATGATTTGTCATGTTGGTTGTTCATAAGGAGCAGACAAACTTCCAAGATTTCCATGAACTTCCTTGTGCAGCTATGTGCAACTCTGTCTCCGCTGTTTTAGCCCTTTTTGGTCACCCCCTTTTATATATTTCCATAGCAGGTATTCATCTTGGATCCTCTTGGACCTCAGTTGCAGTGTTTGAGAAGGTTTGATTTAATCGTTATTTCCCAGCATCAGGTACAGCATCTCCAAACACTGATTCTGAAAGGTGTCACAGCCCTTTCTTTTGCCTTCTCCCCTTCCAAGTGATGTATCCCCTTCTGTTTACCACTCTTACTGTGTTTTTTTTTTTTTTTTTTTTTTTCTCTTTTATTTATGTATTTGTGTATTTATTTATTTATTTTTCTGGAAGCACTAGCTATTCTGTACTTTAAAGTAAAGTATATGTTGCCATAAGTTTATGGACGGAAACAGAAAGGGGCACTGTGAAGACAAGTCTCAGCTGTGACATCACGAAAGATTTTTCAGAACTGTGACCTGGATTTCTGCCTCTTGACTTCAGGCACCTAAGCAAGGTGCCAAAGAGCCTGGCCAGTAGAGCTGCTTCCAGGTACTTTTTTTTTTTTTTTAATCTTGCTTCAGGTACCACCAGAAAATGCCCGTCTTTCTCTGGTGTCCATCTTCCATTGGTCAGGTCTGGACCACACTGTGATTCCTGAGGTGTTAAAGGTTGTCTGCATCCTGGAAATCCTCTTTCCCACTGTGAGCCTGGAAAACACATTCCAAGCCTCAAGAGTTGTTCCTATAAAATAAAGGTGTTGATACCCATAAAAGATGTTGGCTTTCCTGTTCAGATATCAAAACATACATTTAGCTTTTGTTTCATGGTTACCCACTTGTTTGAAGTTGAAAGCACATGCTGAATGTTAGTTTCCTTCTTTTCCTTTTTTCAGTGCATAGTGCTTGCTTGCCTGTATAAAAGCATCTTTAAGTGTAGGAAATCCTTTTTCCTTTCATTGTCCATCTATTGGACATGTCATTCATTTCTGTAAACAAAAACATCATTTTGAAAAAAGTGGAAAAATGCAAGTGCTTCATTGCATTAACTCATTTTTTGCCTTGCAGTAGATTGTGTTTACCTCATTTTGCAAAGTGTAACACTCCTGAAACTTTCCACATGTCCCTGAGGTATCCAAAACCCCTTAGGGACTCCAGGCAACAGACTGATTGGTGACGTCTTGGAGTGCTGTGTAAGCCTGGCAACAGAGGGAGTAGGTTCCTATTGAAGGAACATCATCTGGAAGATGGAAATTGTTAAAACAAAACAAAACAAAAACTACATATACATAAATTAATAATTTATGTGGACAGAATTAATAATTTATATAGACATAAATGAGTAGTACAGAAATAGTTAACTCTTGCAGTACTTGGAAGAGCTATTCTGCAGGGCACGGGCTCTTGATCACTGGGACGGGTAGCTGGGCTGTGGGGTGGTCAGGGAGGCTGCCAGCTGCAGCATCTCACCTCCCAGCCATAAAACACTGGAAACCCAGAGAAGCTCTTCTGCCTCCAGCAGCTAGTGTGGGGCTGATCCAGCCCACAGTGATGTTGTTGTGTAGGGTTACAACGACAACAAGGACTCTAGAGTCAAGTGTTCCCGCATGACTTTGAAGTGTACTTTTTCTTTTTCATAAGTAGATGGCTATCTCGTTTCCCTAAAGGAGAACAGATCATGGTTTCTCTTCCCAAGGACACCCATGCGCCTGTGTGCAGGAAGGAAACATCTGTGGAGGTGAGCAGGGGTGGTGGGGAGCCTTTGTTCTCTGCTGGTTTGTGGGAATTTATTGCAAGACACTGGAATGCTTCATATAAAGTGAGCACTATGCTAATGTCCTGATACTCAGGAGTACTTCAGGACTGGGGTTTTCAATTTGTTTTACTTGTTAATTGGAGGGCTCAGAGCTGCACCTGCACTTCACCTGAGTGGTAGCCATCAGCCTCCCTTGGAGACCAGGCCTGTGTCCAATGCAGGCCATTTCCAGAGGACATTGCAGGACCTGGAAGGCATCAACACTCTGTGTGAGTGGCACCCACACACTGTGTGACACCCACACGTCATGCAGCACCACCAAGCCACGTGGCATGAATGGTGGACCCAGGACCTCTGTATATTCCCAGCCTCTCCTCTCCCCAGGGACTATTGCCCTCATTATCCAATAGATTATGGAGTTGATCCAAAATGCTTACAGTGCCAAAGGGCCTATTCAAGATAACAGAGACCCTGAATCCTACCTGTCAAGACTGGCTCTTAACAAATGTCTCCTTGGAAGTCAGAGCTATGGGCCTAATCTGGCAGTCACTGCCTTCGGGTTATTTCCTTGGAGAAGCCCAGATTTGTCAGTAAGAGGATGGCAGAAGGGAATTCTGAGGCATTTCTAATCCCAATTGCCATAGATTGTAAGAGGATTTGTAATGTTTCTGCTGTTTGAATATGTGTCTTTTTTTTTTCTTTTTTTTTATTTTTATCTTGTTCTGGTGTTTTCCCCATTATTATTTTTTTTTTCTGAGTAGAAATGCATATATAGGAAAGAATACTCTGATTTATGTAATTGATCAGAAAGTGAACAACAACAAAAGACAAATCAATTAGGGACTGACCCCATTCTGAAGTAATTCCAGGATTACAGATGTTCCCTGGTGCCCCTTTGGTATCTCTTTTCCAGTCCTGATAGCTCTATTACACGTAGGCAATTTCTTCATTCCCTGCATGTAATGTCTGAGATGAAACACTATTAAATATAATCCAACATGTTTAGGAGACGCAGTCTGCCACAGTGCTGGTGTCTATAATGACGAAAGCATTTAAGAATGGCACTGAAAAACAGAACTCCCCTTTTCCAAGTGTGGCACACCAGTGATGGCTCAGTGATGGTTCTGTTAAAATGAAGCTCTGTGCCTGACTTAAAAATTAGGCATCTGGGATAGTACTCATTTCCAGATTTTTTTTTTTTCTTTTCTACTGTCTGAAAATAGCCTCTAACTTTACTATGATGATTTAAAAATACACCAGAAATGTATTTTCCTGCAGAGCTATTCATTCTGCCTTAAGAATATAGAGAAAACAGATGGGACTCATTTTCTCTTACTTGGTCCAAACAATTCAACAGGTGGGTTATTTTCCTTACCAGCGGTTGGACTCCCCACTGTTCTTAATTGGATTATTTGGATAAATAAACTGATCTAGCTTTGGCCCTTTATTAATCATACACCTGAGGCAGAACATGTAGAAGTTAATGGAAAGAAAGGATGGCTGGTCTAGTAAGAAATGAGCTAATGTTGCTTTACTATGAAAAGGCATCAAATTCTTCTTGCCTAAAAAAAATAATCTTTTTTTTCAGCATAAATCTCCAGGTTTATTTCTGTTATAGTTAGATGAACATCAAAAAGTGAACAGGTTGGAATATAGTTTGGGAGGAAAAAAGAAGGAAGAATTATTATAACTACCTTAACAGCTTGCAGACGTTCAGTAGGCATATAGGTGCCTCTTGTTTCAGAGAGATCTCTGTACTATTTTGCCCATGTTAAAACTCATTTCTCCTTTTGAGGCTGTATCTCCTTAACTACAGTTGGAGGAAAACAGATTACAGTATAGCATGTAGGAAAAGAGGATAAAAAATATGAAACAATGGAACAAAATTAGTTTCCACTACAGAGGGGGAAGGAAATTTTTCAAAAAGTGAAATGATGAAATAACATTCTCTTTCTTTCCTTCAGAGGTGAGTGAATAACCAATGCGAGGATGCACTGAGATACACACTAGGACTGATGCTATGATGGAGTGGAAGCAGGAGTGGGACTGAACCATCCCCTGATGATGCAAGGTGTAAGTAGCATCACTGTGTTGCCTCAGCATTCAAGTGAACATGCATTGCAAACAGATCATAGAATCATAGAATATCCTGAGTTGGAAGGGATCCACAAGGATCATTAAGTCCTACTTCTGACTCCACACAGGGCAACGTAAGAGTTAAACCATGTATTTAAGTGCATTGGCCAAACACTTTTTGAACATCAACAGGCTTAAAGCCATTATCACTGCCCTGCGGAGCCTGTCCCAGTGCCTGACCACCCTCTGGGTGCAGAACCTTTCCCTAACCCCCAGCCTGACCCTCCCCTGTCCCAGCTCCATGCCGTTCCCTCGGGTCCTGTCGCTGTCCCCAGAGAGCAGAGCTCAGCGCCTGCCCCTCCGCTCCCCTCGTGAGGGAGCTGCAGGCCGCCATGAGGCCTCCCCTCAGCCTGCTCTGCTCGGGGCTGAGCAAACCAAGGGACCTCAGCCACTCCTCATACATCTTGCCCTCTAGACCCTGCACCATCTTTGTAGCCTTACTTTAGACACATTCTAATGCTTTTATGTCCTCATGTTGTGGAGCCAAGAACTGCACACAGTGCTCAAGGTGGGGCTGCACCAATGCTGAGTATACTGGGACAATCACTTATTTTGGCTGGTTAGCTATATTGTGCTTAATGCACCCCATGATACCATTGGCCTTTTTGGTCACCAAGGCACTCGTGTACCTTACCATCATCTAAAACCACCAGATCCCTGTCTGCAGGGTTGTGCTCCAGCCCCTTGTCCTGAAATGTGTATGTATATCCAGGACTACACAGCAGTGGAAGAAGGTATTTTCAGTCCTTTTTTTTTTTTTTTTTTTTTTTTTTTTTTTTTTTTTTTTTTCCCTCTTCTTTTTTTCTTTACTGTTGGTCTGCTGAAAGCTTCTGTTTGCTCAGATCTGTTGGCTTGGCTACTCATGAACCTCTCCTCCTCATTTCAGTCCAAGCAAGTGGAGTTAACCAATGTCTACAAATGGAGTTGTTTAGACAAAGAGAAGTGGTTGAGGAGATGTTCCCCTGAGAAGTAGGGGAGAGTGGTGACAAGTGGTTGGCAGCAAGCTTAGAGCAGTAATCTCTTTCGCTGGCACAGATGTATTTGTCCTTGGTATCAAGCCCTCCTGTGAATTTGGCCCACTGAATTTATCACCCTCTTAAGATGGAGCTGGTTCCAGCTGTGAATTTGAAGAGCAGGCTTACAATTTTAATGTTTTTACCGATGCCTTCATTTAGAACTGCATTAGAACAGTTAGCTGTGGCATGTGAGAGAATAGCCAGGTCTGTGAGAGCAAGTTTTGTCAAGCAATCATCTTACTTGATATATAAAGTGCTTATTAAAAATCAGTCAAGTTGTGGAGGATTGTGCAGGTAATTGTACTGTGCTATAATTTGTCTTCAGATTAGATGCTGTGGGAATCAAACTGAGCAGAGTGCCCTACTTGACAAAAGGTGGAGGAAATGACACTGCACAAGGTCATGTTGTTTCTGGACAAAGCATTTGTCACAGCTGCAGAATTGTTTTGTTTTGGATGAGAAGGGTAATATATATTTTTAATCAAATATTTAAAAAAATGTTCCCGATATGAATGTGTTCTAATGAACAATGTGTACCAGTCTTTGCTAATGTTGACTGTCCCCACGACCTTGGGTAAATTATTGCATCTCCTCATGCATATCCCCATCTATAAAGTGTCTTCTGGAGATGGAGTGAGGATTCATTAGCTAATGTTTACAAAGTGTTTTGAAGACATAAATACTGTTATTACTTTAATGACTTTAAATTTCATGAGATTAAGAGGGCATGTTGCCCTTTGCATCCTACTCACCAACTGGGGAGTGCAGTAACCATCCCACAAATAAACGCATCATTCACATCAATCTTACACATAGCTGTTGTCTGCTATGAATTTCCTTTATATATCTAAATGGTCAGTGGCTGTCCAATGACTGAAAGTGACTAATCTTTTATAGCAATTAATGGACATATTGTGTTCATTTTTACAAAAATTTTACACTGGAGAGGAAATATTTTTGCATGGAGCAAGTATTTGTTGGCTCCAAGCAACTACAGCATGATTTTTTTCTCAATCAGGATTGATATATAATCTAAAGTCCCTCATTTCCCAAGCAAACAGCAGAATCTTATTTAGACCTGGGAGAACAATTAAAATGGCAAAAGATCGAAATATATAAATTTCTTTTATGCTGAATCTCCAGAAGACATTGGCAGCTATGGTAGCTATGGTTATATTGTTTCTGTGCTTCCAGACTAATATTCCCCAATGATGTACCTCCGTTTCTCATGCTGTGGTTTAATATGCTACCGGAGATCTCTCTAGCACTGTGATGCAATAGAAGTCTTAATGAGAGCCATTGAGAAAGTGTAAATGCTCATAAAAGTCTGAAAATCCTACATACTGCTGAACCTCAGATTTCCACCAACTCTTAGTGTACTTTAACATTGCTTTGATTTATATCTTGATGTACAGTCCCCATGCTAATGTTAAATAACTGCAGAGTTATTGTTCAGGACTCTGTTTCTTCCATTTTTTTTATATTGACATTGTTTCCACCATGAGCAAGAGAAGGTTATGGGGAAATATGAGGAACAACTGTTGGGTGTCTGGCATGGCATGAAATCTGCCACGAAGAGCTGGATGTCGCTACTTACCTTCGCCAGGAAGGATTGCCAAGAAGGAAGACCAGGAAAACCATGAGTACAAGACCAAAACTGAAGAGACAGGTTTTTTGGTTTTGCTGCCATCTAGCAGAAGATAGACAGTCTGACACACACACACACACACAATGGGACAGAGAAGCAAAGTTGATTCCTGGAATAGGTGGGGGATAATAATGTGGGTTTGGGCTGAGGTCTGAGATGGATTTTTTGCCCTAAGAGCTCCGTGTCTTGCTAGGTGACTGCTAAAAGGTGGCTTGGTTTTGGAAGAGTAGGCTGCTTTTCCCTCGTGCTTGTGTTTACTTGCCTTAAGAGGCAAAGGGGCCCTCAAGTGCAGGACCAGATGGCACTCACCTCACTGGAGGAGTGAACCAGGCTGCTGCCCCATCAGTCCAGCTAAGCTGAAGGAGATATGCGGACACAGATGAAGAGACCGAGAAGAATTCAGATATACCCTCTGAAGACAAACCCTCCCAGCAAAGGCCCTGTCTCTTCTGTCCAGGCACGCAGAGCACACACCATTCCCACCTTTACCATAGTCCTCACGGGCAGCTGTGACAGAGTTGCCTTATCTCAGTTTGTCTGCTGAGGGGCCTGGCAGTCACGTGTGCTACCTAAGGATGCTCCTCCATAGCCTTTTGAAGCGTAGAGAGAGTGAATGCGTTTCGTTATACACCCCTGATCTGAATCAGATGACAGATACCAAAATACCAGCCCTTTGTTGAGCCTTGTTCTTAGAGGCTTTTCTCACATCTTGACCCCACATGATTTTTTTTCAAGTATACCTACGGGTTTCCTTCTGCTGCAGGTGCATCTGTGGGGAAAAAATCAAGCCCATTAGCCTTTCTCCTGGATTTCTGGGGAAAGGAAAGCACTCCTCATGTGTGCAGAACACATTTAAAAATAATCAATTACTATTGAGTTACCTTGGACCAGGTTTGGTCAAAGCTCATACTAACAAATGTTAGCTTCTAAAGCATTTTGAGCAAGTCATTAGGTGACTCTCAGTTTATACCACTTTATTATCTGAATGATCATGAAGAAAGCTTAGTTATGTAATGACCATGTTAGGCTTCTAAACGAGTTTCCTTTCCTGTAATCATTAATCCTCCCGCTTCCCTCGTTCTTGCAATCTCATTTTCTCCTGCAGTATACGCTCCTCTCACAGAGGTAGATAACTAGATCTTGCAGACAGTCATTTATGGTCTCTGTTCATTAGTTCACAGGCAAAGGAAGCTAAGCAGACTCTACTCTGACTTCCCTTTTGTTCACTGGAAACTGAACATTTATCATGGTTTTGTTGCTGAAGGAAAGTTCAATTCCTAACGTAACACAGGCTAGAAATTCACAGAAAGATAAATGCTTCAGGTTTAGGAACGACTGAGCTCACATGTATTCTCAGGGGAAGGGAAAAAATGCTAAACATGAGCTGAGGTTATTGCAATGTGCCTATGATGCCAACATTCATTATGAGGGTCATAGAATCACAGAATCAGAGTGGTTTGGGTTGGAAGAGACCTTAAATACCACCCAGTTCCAGCCCCTGCCATGGGCAGAGACACCTCCCACCAGAGCAGGTTGTCCAAAGCCCCATCCAGCCTGGCCTTGAACACCTCCAGGGATGGAGCATTCACAGCTGCTCTGGGCAGCCTGTGCCAGGGCCTCACTGCCCTCTGAGGGAAGAATTTCCTCCTAATGTCTAATCTAAATCTACCCTCTTCCAGTTTAAAACCATTCCCCCTTGTCCTATCATTATCTGCCTGTTGCTCTCCATCTTTTTTATAAGACCCCTTTAAGTACTGAAAGGCTGCAGTGAGGTCTCCCCAGAGCTTTGTCTTCTTCAGGCTGATGTAGGATGTTGTAGCTATGCTCAAACTAAGGATTAACCAGATCCCCCAGACTGAAAGTTACGCTTTAGCGGAAACTGAGGTAGGTTAAGATGCAGGAATACAGGGACAAATCACCCAGGTAACTGTAAGTCTACTCAGTAGTGGTGCTCATTGCATGATCAAATGCTTTTTTTTTTTCTTTTTTTTTTTTTTTTTTTTTCCAGATCAGATTAGACCAAGGTGTTTTGTTTGTTTGTTCTAAAGGTAAAGTGAGAAGGTAAAGTGCTAGTTCAGCACCTCCAGAACCACAGTGCTTGCCAGAGTCCAGTTATCAGGATGTCATTTACCAGGCCCACCGACACTGTTGGGTTGCACATCACCACGTGAACGTCCACCTTCAGGCTGGCAGGGTGATGGGCTGGAGGAAGGTAGCTGGGGAAGGAGGGTGTCCAAGACACCACCATGGCCCATCAGGATGTGTGAGGTTACTGGAAGAAAATACCTGGGTGCCATGGGACATGAAACTGGGGATGCTGGGTTCACGGGCAGGAACTCACTGCCCCTCCTCTTAGTGCCCCTTTAATTTGCAGTAGGGTCATTCTTAAAACACAGTTTTATTGCACAAACCTTCTTCAACTATTTGTTTCATCAAGTCCAGTAAATCAGAGAGGAATGGTGTCTCTGCTCAGATGTGCACCAGTAACCTGCCCTGAAGAGCTCTCTGCATCTCATGTGATGCCTGCAGCTCAGTGACACAGCTGCCTGCTGTCTTACATGGGACTCGGTGGCCTCGATATGTACCTTGACCAAAGGGCAAAAATTAAGGGATTCTGGCTAGTATGATTTATACTCTGCAATAACTGGTGGGTATTACAAAATCATTTGTGCTCTGACTCCAGAATTTATGTGCCCTGTACGTCCCACTAATTCACACTCCACCTATTGTTCTCATCTTCGTCGGGCTGTGACTGCTCACAGAGACATCCCACTCCATCCTAGCAGAACTTCATGGTTAGCCTCTGCACCTTTCTCTTCGTAATTAGAAGAAAAACATTCATTAATGCTTAGGTAAAATAAATGACTTTAGCCAAGAGGGAGAATGAAATAATAATTTAAGCTTCAAAAATATAGCTTTCAAAACATGGTGTAACACCCAAGTAATTGTTTTAAGTCCAGTAAAGTTAAACCACGTAGAGTTAAGTTTGTAAATACATGCAGGTCTCATGCTGCATAAATGTGCAGTTAAGCCACCCAAACAACACTGTCATGGCAGTGCAATTTTGATTGAAAAACAGATTAGAATAAATTGATTTTTGCATCAACCTACTTTTGCATTTGCAATCATTTCAGTCTTTCTAAAGTCCACCTGAGTGCATGTTTCCTTTATGGACTGGGAATTCCTGGGAGCTACAGGTAAAATTCCTGTTTTATTCTCCCCAAATCAAGACTGGTTGAATTAGGGATATTTTGCAGTGAGAGAGTTGCTATCCAAGCATTCCCTCCAAAAGCAAAGGCTGTAAAACTAGATGTCAATCAGATTCAAAGAAGATAGATTTATGTGCATGCTCTTTATATTATTCTGACTTACTGCTTCTTCCTATACTAAATCACTGAGTGCCCTGTAAGCGCTTTCTGGGATAATTCACTTACAGTTTGTTTAGTGGCTGGAGCTGAGCTCATCTATGGCCACACAGTCTTTTTAAGTGTAGGATTTTATTAGTAAACCTCTGAGTATACTGCAACTTGAATTACATTTTCAGGCCAGGAAATGTGTTTTCAGATGTGTGTATCAGGTCATGGGGCTCTCTTCCAGTACAGGATGCTTTTTACACAAGCAGTAAATGCAGTTAATTAGAGGAGACCCAGGGCTGTGTCTGTCCTTCTGTAAAAAATAAATGGTGTTGCCAAAAAAGGAGTTTGTCCAACCAACACAGAGATAGCTAACACATAGTTACTAAAATCCAAAATTGGGTGACAGATTTATGGGCTACTGATAAGTGACCAAAAGCAGAAAATAGTGAAGTTCCCTAAACCACTGGTGTCTGTGTCATAAATGCTTCTGTATCTTTTGACATACATTGCCAGTATTCATTCTCTGTTCAGTATGTCTTATTTATTCCTTTTAACATAATGTATTTTTCACAGAGGAGGAAAAGATGGATTTTTCCTATGTCCTCTCTGTAAGATTTTGCCTCCTCATTCACGCCAACAGTTCTTTATGTGCAAATAACAGAGTGGACAGTTTTGCTTCCAGCAGTGATTTACAGGTTCAGCAGATGTCAGCTAGGCATATTAATGGAGCGATGCCACACAAACTGCAGCTTTTAAGCACGATGTTACCCACACTCACGCTACTTAGTCTGTTGCACAGAGGCTGATAGCTTTGTGGAAGAAGTATCAACAGCTACTGAGGGAAATGCTGTCTCAAAATTCCCCAAAGCTGAAAGCTTTTTAAAAACATATAGAGAGAATTTAAAATTCTGCAGAAAACATGAAGGATGGCATATTTCTCTCCAAGATGGAAACCAAGAGAATAAATAGAAATGATTGTCTATGCCCCCCTGCTGTTGAGGTATTTCCACTCTCAATCTGTGTCTGCTTGGAAAAGCTCCTGTCTGGGTAGAACCAAAATAAACGTAAGCAAATCTGAAAGAAATGTCAAGATAGTGTCATCTATGTTAATCAAACTGTTTATTCAGAAAGTATAAAAACACTCTGTGATTTTAGCGTGCATAGATTTAGTTTGTGGTACAACAAAGATGCTCACTGCTCTTTGGAATACAAGTGCCACATGGTGATAGCTCTCTAATGCTGGGGAAAAGAGCAGGGGTCCTAGATGACAGAGAACGGCATCATTTGGACATCATAGCCTGAAAAAATATATATGTACCTGCTATAATGGGGGAAAATGAGGAGTACTGGTAGATTGGCTGGACCCAGAGGCCTGTTTTGTTCATGTGGATGGCTGAAATGGAACTAAAACTGTTTCTTGCTCAGCCATGTAATTGGTATTTGCTTAGAAATTAGCAATCTATTCATGCGGACAAAGCTTTGCAGAACTTGAGCAAGTCAGTACTTCTTGAGTAAAGGATGCTCCCACTTGCCTGTCCTCTGAGATCCTCATTATTGAGGGTATCTTGGGCTCTCTGGAAACTGTAGGTTTCTTACAGACAAAAAAATCTTTTTTTTTTTTTAATGTTTTATCTGAAGATTGTGTTGGTAAGCTGAACCAACTGGAAGTGCACTAACAACTGTGACAGAATAGTGTTGAACAGACAATAAGGAACATCACCAGTTGTGCTGTTAAAGCTCTTGGAGACCATATCAGTTCTACCTCCACATTTCTTTTCCCGTAAAATATGTCAGTCCCTGCATTGTCAAATAGTAGTTATATAAGGGAGTGGAATTTCTCTGACTGTTTTAGCTAGAAAGCCCATTTAGCACTTTTCTCAGCTTTTCAGATACAGTATGTTTGGTATGAATATTAATATGATTTTCCTGGCCACAGTAGATAGGGTTTGGGGCACGGCAGTGATGTGTTCACAGCAAATTGTTGCTAAGCAGATATGCTGCTTAGTTTCATACCATACCAACTGAAATATTTTCCATGTGCAGGGCTTCCCTTTCAGATGTGTATTTTGATGGTTTGTATTCAGAGGGTATGGACATTGAGTCACCCTGAGCTTTATTTGATTCCAGGACAAAACTGTTGATAGGACAGAATTTCACTGATATAAATGCAGTGAAAAGAATACAATGTGAAAAAAACTTACTGTGGGCATTCAAAAATGTCTTGCAATGCAACACCTCAGCCTAACCAGTGTACTAGCAAGATATTTTTCTCAGGCATTAGTTTTCTCAGCATCTCCAGCTAAACCCATTGTTCAGAGTTTGTTTATACAAGTCAGTCCTGTTCTCCTCTTTTATTCTACTTTTTCTCCAGAAGTACAAAGATAAATCCTGTTTACCTCACTTCCTTAACTGAACTGTGCCAAATTACTGATGCAACTCCATTAACTTCAGTGCAGTCTCACCCAGGATTAGTGGCTCTGATCACCAATTCTTAAGAGTAATATGTCCATTTAATCAAACCAAATTAACAAGCTGCACAAATAAGATTTTTCCTTACCTTGAGGTCCACTTCCCCAAAAATGTCATGAAGTGGCTTAGGTACTCACAGATGCTTAAGTGCCCTCAGTGGTGTGAGTGATAGCCTCAGAAAATTGAAAGGCTCAGAAAGCAAAGATCAAAGCAAACTCATTTTATAGCTTTGCTCTCCACGCAACAAATTCCCTCTCTGTAGTATGTCGTAATACAAATTCTGATGTCTTTTAAGTGAGATTTAATCCAGGTCCCAAGTGGGATATTTTGTCTGCGTATGGCATGATGGATGTTCCATATGAGTGACTCACTCATCCCCAAAATCTCCTGGAACTGTGTCACTATGCAACAGGATATTCACTGAAAAATCTGTTCCTGACCAACAAACCAAAATTGTACTGTGGAGTTACAGGCTCATAAAAATAGGAGGTGACTGTGGTAAGGTTGAATGGTGAAACTATTAAATGGAGAGCTTAAAAATGACCTCCACCGTTTTATACGTAGATATACATCAACGTTTTACTCATGATGTAACTTTTACTATCTTGAAAGCAAGCACAAAAAAAGACTTAACTCCTCAAACAGAAATCACAAATGTGATTCATGTATTTAAGTTAATTGATGGATTTCTGCTGGTATACAAAGGAGTTCATCTAAACTAAGCTCCACCATACTGCAATAAGGACTCAATTAAAATGAGTCAGAAAAGCTTCTAAGAGCAGACTAGCACAAAGGCACAAAGTCATTTGATTCCTTAAAAAGCACCTATCTAGCATACAAACACTCTTCTGGAGAATGCACTGTGTGGAGCAGCCCTTTGTTACCAGAGGGACAGGACTGAAAATGTCTTTAATTTTCTTGTCTTCTCCATTGATTTTCTCAAGAACTTCTGCAATGAGGGTAACTCCTTCTCCTCCCATCCAGGTGTTCCTCTCCATTTGCTGTTTCTTAGTATTGTTGATTTCTATATGCCAAAATAGGACAAGAAAACAGTGATATATTTCCTATAGCAGAATTATTGTTCTCTTCCTCATTTAGTCCCCATCTCAGAGGCTGTGACATGACATGGGAGACAAGCTTCTTGCCCCCTCAGCAAGCCAGTACAGGGTGTGTAGTCCTAGAGTAACTTACTCTTTGAAATAAGGTGGACGTGGGAGGGCACTTGTGTCTTGGAGGGCTATGCCTGAAGCACAGCACCACCTTCCAGTTTATGGATTTGCTTCCAGTTGCAAAATCTTTGTTATTTTATTGTATTTATTTAGGGTGCTCATCTGGTTTGCCGTTTGGGGAAGGATGAGACCCATCAGGATATGTCAAAATGTAGCGATACAGCAGGAAAATACAATAAGAGCCCAGATGTTCATATGATGGACTGTTTTTTGGGAATCCAGGATGTCTGTCAAGAAGGTTTTCAAGCTCAGCTAATGTAAACAGGCAGAGGCAGCACTGTCTCCAGCTGTTGTCCAATGCTCTATGAACGAAAAAGCTGTGCCAGTTATTGCAATTCCGTAGAAGACCAGGTGAACTGTTTCAGGGGACTGTCATGAACGAACGTCATCGTGCAATACTCATTAATTGACTGCTTGGATTTGCTGATGTTGCTCATTCTCTGAAGAACTGCTTCCAAAAACCTGTGATCATCTTGCTGTTGCTTCACATTTTCCTAGGTTTAAATGGCAATGACCTAGCTTTCATTCTGCTTCAGCTGCAGTTGACTTCCTGGCTGGCTGTTGTTATTGCAAAGACTCCTGAATGGCTTTTATTATTCCCCTCCACAACATCAGTTTTAGTTTAGCATCTCGTCCTCCAAAGTGCTTTCACTATCTTTTTTTTCTCTCATATACATTTTCAATCTGCTGTAAACAAGCTATATTGCTGGTGAGAAGAAATGAAACAGCTTAGAAGGATAGGAAGGACATACAAAAACATATAAATTCCCAGCAGAACAGAGCTTGAGTATTTTCTGCTGTGCTTAAGCAAGTATTTGCACTTCTGGTGTGGTAATTAGGCACTTCAGTGTTGGGCTGTTGAAGCTCACATGCAAACTTCCTATAATATCTCTTCCTGATAAGATTAAAAAAAAAATCCATTAATTCTAGCAAATGTTAGATATACCCTGGATCTCTTTGCTAAAAGGGAGCTTTAGCCAGATGTGACTGGGCACAATTCCCCTCACACTCCAAGGCCTCTTGGGGCTGCCACTCAGCGAGGACTAGTGGCTGCTGCCATCATCCTAGGAAAGGTGCTGTGTGCGTATGACGCAGGGAGTGACCACATCTCTGGTTAGAAAGAGGTTTAATATAGCTCACTATGCTGCTTGCCAGTCCTCTGTTTGATGTACTAATGAAAAAGGAAAGTTCTTTTTATTCCTGTTTGGTCGTAGCTGATCTCGGTCAGGTCCTCTTTGGCCAAGGAGAGGCCCAGGACAAGCCACGAGTGGTCTATCTCCCTTCTAATTACAGGCTTTACCCTTTGGTCTAGCACAGGAACAGCAGCAATTAGAGCACAGAAATGCCAGTAGCTGGATGTGAACATGCAGTCAGTTTACAAGGTGATATGTTAAAGCTGATTCAAGCCTGTACACAATCTCTTTCTCATTATGGAGGTGTAATTAATCACTTTGTCTCATTATCACACTATTGGATTAAACACAGTCAGTTTAACCTTCCCCTGTACCTTGGAATCTACTCTGGCACAACAGAAGCCAATTTCCTTTGGAAAATGTGATTGAGTTTCTGCATCTGCATGGACGTGGTTCCGCAGAGATCTTCTAGTATTAAGCTGACTTCAGCCTTTCCATTAACGACCTAAACTAGAAGAGCATGTTAAAGTTATTGCCTTCGTCCCTTCCCCAATAGCAAATCAAGCTGTCAGGGCCCTGAGAGCATCCATCCCCTTCCAGACGTCTCGTTGGCTAAGCTGAGGAGCTTAGCTGCTTGACTCACAGCCCGGCTCCTTTGCTGATAAGAGCAAGAAAAAAAGCTAAAAGCCAGGGCCTGCCCTTCCTCTCCCTTGGGAGCTGCTTTTCAGCTGTGGCTTTGCCACTGGCCCCACCTGGGCTGCATCACAGCTGGGGAGCAGCTATCACAGGAGCTTCACTTGAGTAAAAGCTGAGGGGTTAATGGGTAGCCCTGAAAGCCACAATCTGGAATAGCCCCAAACTCTTTAGCCCTGTGTTTTATTTTAGCAAATCAAGATTTACTGAGTCACTGGACCTGCCTTCCTGCTTGTCCATTCATTGCACATAAGTCTTGAACCCATTACCCAATTTCTGGGCTGAGTGCAAGGTGTAGTCAGGGCTGACCCTTCGCCTCCCTCCCAGACACCACAAACCAGTAACACAGCAGTTTGCATACTACCCAGTATCCATCATTCATAGCTGGATCAGAAACAAGAAAGTGAGTGGCTGTCTCCTCTAAATTTCACCAATTAGGAAAAGTTTTGAAATTAGGAGAAATTAGGAGGTATTTCTTCTCAGGAAGAGTGACGAGGCTTTGGAACGAGTTGCCCAGGGAGCTGGTGGCATCACTGTCCCTGGGGGTGTTCAAGGAAAGGTTAGATGTGGTGCTTAGGGACATGGTTTTGTGGGTGACATTGGTGGTAGGGGGATGGTTGGACCAGATGATCTTGTAGGTCTTTTCCAACCTTAATGATTCTGGGATTCTGTGCCAGAAAGGTCAGGGATATGGTGATGCCCTGCTGCAGCCTCACCCTGCAGTGGTGCTGAGCCTCTGAGCCCTGTGCCAGCTGGGTGCTGGAGAGGAGCCAAGGCTGCAAGGGAGTGCTTTGAGCCAGAGAGACTTCCCAACAGCTCTGAGCAAGGAGGGACAGTGCCATGCTGTCAGGCACGTCAGGGAAGCAGGCACCCTGAGCTTCAGGTAGCAGGAGCAAAGGCAGAAGAATCTGAGTTGTGGATCTCCTCTAGGAAATAACCTCCTCTAAGAAAGACATTCTGCTTCCCTTGCCCTGATAGAAGATGGTTTAAGAGGTAGGAGTTGGTGCTGAGAAAAGACAACAGTGCTAAATAGAGACAGTTTGCACAGCTAAAGGCAGAGGACAGGCTGCACCGTGTTAGGTGGAAGACACATGACTTGGCCTGGTCTGTTCCGAACTGCTTACACCTTATAAAATGGTATCATGTTTCTGGAGATAGAAAACCAAGAGTCTCTTCTCCCCAGATGACCTTGGGAGCAGTGTAGCGCCAAGAGCTGTGCAAGCACTGTCAGTGTGCCTCAAAATGTAGAAGGATTGGGGTCTGTGTCTTGCACGAAACCTCACAGCTCTGCTGCAGTTATTGCAGATGCATCAGTGTGCACCATGAGGGGGCTGGACCAGCCTTTCTGTCTGCTTTAATCCATTCCATCATTTTAACTTCCTGTCTGTTGTGCTGAAAATGCTAAAATAGCTTTTTGTTTGTTTGTTGTCGTAGGGCTTGGAGAGGTCTCTTTTTGCTAATCAGCTGCCCCCTGTTGACTGCTTCCAACACTATTTTAATGGGCCTGAGTGCAGCCCCATACCTCCACATGCAGAGAGATCTCAAGGACCAACTTCTGCTTCTTGTTACTTCATCTCTGCTTTTTCCTTTTAATTTTGGCATGAAGAATTCCTCCTTGAAAATTAAAAAGGGGAAATAAGTCTGACCTGTTTTTGCATGGAACTACAGAAATCTCATTTTTGTATGCAAAATTATAACCCAGACCAAGATTTCCTGGGCTTTGACAGACTTAAAAGGTTTATGAACCTCCGGGATTTGTTTTGCTCTCCGTAATTAAACTAGCCCCATCCTGAGAAAGTCAAAGGGAGGCTACAGTCATGTTTGCCTAGCATAGTAAGTGGCAGGGACTTTGCTATACAAATGCTGACAGGCTGGTACTTTCTTTCTGCCCTCTGGTTTCTCCCAGAGATAACAACTCACTAGGATCATGCAAGACTTTGCAGCCTGTACTAGCTTGAAGAAATATCTGGAGAGACTTCTGAACTGGGGGAGGAGGGAGGCTGGCGCCTGAGCGAATCCTTTTATTCTCTGCAGAGACTCCTGGAGCCCAGCCGTAGTTGCTCTGGCAGGGCACCGCGTAGTTATCTGATTATAGTAAAATATATTCCCTGACTGCATCTGAAATGTTCTTTCCTCTTTAATTGTATGTGCTGGGAAGACTGAAAAAGCTTTTGCTTCCTCAGCCTCTTGAAATAATTTTTTATCTAATGCATTTTGAAGTATTTTTGTGAATGTCTTGTAGACGTAATGGGCTCCAATCTATGTGATTTCAGCCTCACACATGTGAAGAGGAGTCTTAAATTAAAAATCAATAGCACGTAATGGTCAGACAGCAAGAGAAGGTCAGTCCAAGACCATCAGGCTTGTA